CTTGAGCCCATTGCTGCTGCCATTGTGCCAGTCCATCTCATTGGAGACTTAGTCTTTTTCATTGAACTTCTACTTTACTAAGCATGATGTCCTTTTCCAGGGACTGGTTCCTCCTGATAATATTTTTAAAGTATGAGAGATGGAGTCTTTGCCATCCTGCCTTCTAAGGAGCATTTGGGCTGTAATTCTTCCAACACAGATTTGTTTGTTCTTCTGAAAATCCATAGTACTTTTATTATTCTCCTTCTAACCATAACTCAAATGCATAAGTTTTCCTACGGTCTTCCTTATTCACTGAAATTAATCATGGCTTGGGTCAGGCATACCCTAATCCTCAAACTGATACCTTTCCTCTTGATCACGTTAAAAGAGGTTTTATGCAGCAGAGTTGCCTGATGCAATACAATGTTTGATTTCTTGACGGGTACTTCTATGATTGTTGATGGTTGATCCAAGCAAAATGAAGTCTTTGAAAAGTTCAGTCCTTTCTCCAGCTATCCTGATGTTATTCATTGGCGCATTGGTGAGGATCTTTATTTTCTTTACACTGAGGTGCAATCCATACTGAACACTTTGGTCTTAGATTTTAATCAGCATACAGATTGAGTAAGTATTGTGAAACAAGACAGCCCTGGAGCATACCTTTCCTAATCTTAAACCATTCAGTATTCCCTTGCTCTTTTTAAATGATTGCCTCTTGGTCCGTGTACAGGTTCCTCATGAGCACAATTAAGTGTTCCAGAATACTCATTCTCAAGAGTGTTCATAGCTTGTCTTGATACACACAACCAAAGCCTTTACATAGTCAGTAAAGCACAGGTAAACATCTTTCTGGTATTCTCTGGTTTCAGCCAACATCAGTAATGATATCCCTAGTTCTGTATCCTCTTCTAAATCCAGCTTGAACATCTGGCATTTTGCTGTCAATACATGGTTACAGCCATTCTTGGTTAATCTTCTACAAAATTTTGCATGCATGAGATATTTATGATATTGACCGATGATTTTCACATTCCATTGGGTCATCTCTCTTAGGAACAGGTACAAATGTGGATATCTTCCAGTTAATTGAGCGTGTAGCTGTCTTCCAAATTTCTTGGAAAAAATGACTGAGTGCCTCTAGTGCTGCATCAGTTTGTTGAAAGATTTCAATTTGTATGCCATCAATTCCCAGAACCTTGTTCTTTGCTAATGCCTTCAGTGTACCTTGGACTTTTCTTCCTTCAGTATCATTGGCTCTTGATCATACGCTACCTTTTGAAATGTTTGAACATCAACCGTTTCTTTTTGGTACAGTGACTCTGTGTATTCCTTCCATCTTCTTTTGATAGTTTCTGTATCATTCAATATTTTGCCCAGAGAATCCTTTAGTATTTCATGTCGTGGCTTGAATATTTTCTTTTAGTTCCCTCAGTTTATGAAATGTTAAGTGTGTTCTTCCCTTTTTGGTTTTCTAACTCCACATCTTTGCACATTTCATGATAATGTCTGACTTTGACTTATTGAGCTGACCTTTGAAATTTTCTGTTCAGCTCTTGGACCTCTTCATTTCTCCCATTTGCTTTAGCATCGCAACGTGGAAGAGCAAGTTTCAGAGTCTCTTCTGACATTCATTTTGTTTTTTCCTTCTTTCTTGCCTTCTTAATGACCTTTTGCTTTCTTTCTGTATGATGTTCTTGATGTCATCCCACAACTCTTCTGGTCTTTGGTCTTTAGTATTGAATGCATCAAATCTGTTCTTCAGAATCTCTAAATTCAGGTGGAATATGTGAAAGATCATATTTTGGCTCTTGTGGACTTGTCTGAATTTTCTTCAGCTTCAGCCTGCACTTGCATGTGAGCAATTGATGGTCTGTTCCACAAGCTGCCTCTGGTCTTAGTTTTATCTGAGATACGGAAATTTTCCACCTTCTCTCTCCACAGATTTAGTCAGTTTGATTTCTGGTTATTCCATCTGGTGAGGTTCATGTGTATAGTCATCTTTTATGTTGTTTAAAAAAGGTATTTGCAATGAAGAAGTCATTAGTCTTGAAAAATTCTGTCATGCTATCTTTGGCATCATTTCTATCATGAAGGTCTTATTTTCCAACTACTGAATCTTTCTTTTTGTTTCCAACCTTTGCATTCCAATTGCCAGAAATTATTAGTACATCTTGATTGCATGTTTGATCATTTTCAGATTTAAGATGTTGGTAAAATTCTTCAATTTCATCATCATTGGCTTTAGTGGTTGGTGCATAAATTTGAATAATAATTGTATTAATTGGTCTTCCTTTTAGGCTTTTCATAGATACCATTGAGCTTCAGGACAGATCTTTTTGATGATGAATGCGATGCCATTCTTCAATATTTCATTCAGCTTAGTAAACCACGTAATTGTTAGATTCAAAATGCCAATACCGATCCATTTCATCTCACTGCATAAGGTCGCTATGAGTCAGTACTGACTTGATGGGGCACCTAACAACAACAACAAGCCTAGGATATCAATGATTATGTGTTCCATTTCATTTTTGACAATTTTCAATTTTCCTAGAGTCAGACTTTGTACATTCCATGTTCCTATTCGTAATGGATGTTTACAGCTATTTCTCTTCACTTTGAGTTGTGTCCCGAAGTAGGTCTTCGAAGGCTTTACTCCATTTGTGTTACCATGCTCAGCTCTACTTTGAGGAGGCAGCTCTTCCCCGGTCATATTTGATTACCTTCCAACCTGAGGGGCTCATCTTCTGGCACCGTGTCTGACAGTATTATGGTGCTCTTCATCATGTTTCTGTAGTCAATATTCTGTTACTATCTGATAGCGTTCCACTGCTATTCCTTAGGTTTTTTGGTAACTAAATATTTTAAAGTAGCCCATCTCTCCTTTTTCCTAGTTTGTCTTTATCTGTAAGCTCTGCTGAAATCTGTCCCCCGTTGGTGACCCTGTTGTTATGTGCTGTGGAGTCGGTTCCGACTCATAGAGACCTTGTACAGGGTTTTCAAGGCTGTAAATCTTTAGAGGAGCAGAAAGCCCCATCTTTCTCCTGCGGAACAGCTAGTAGTTTCGAACTTCTGACCTTGCTGTTTGCAGCCCGATTCGTAAGCGCTACGCTACCAGAGCTCCTTGCTAGTATTTAAAATACTTGTAACATAGCTTCCAGAATCACAGAAACAGGCAAGCCGTCACAGTCTGACGGTGCTGGTGCGATACTATGGGATAATGTGCCGGAGCACAAGGTCAGTTTGAACTGTGAAGTTGTCAGTTCAAATTCACCAGCTGCTCCTCGGAAACCCTATATTGGGAGTCAGTGAGTCAGAACTGACTTCGTTGTTGTTGTTGTTGTTAAGTGCCGTTGAGTCGGTTCCGACCCATACTAGGAGGCACTTAATTGGAACATTTTTTTGAGGAGTCTTAGCCATGTGCTGTAGGAAAGTACTGGAGCTCAAGGTCAATCTGAACTGCAAGGTTGGCTGTTGAAGCTCACCAGCCACTCCTGGGAATCCCTCGGCAGGGTCGCGTGAATCAGAATCCACATGATGGCACTTATCAACAGCAACAGATTTAAGAATGTGAAAATTTTTCTTTTGATCTTTAAGTTTTATATTTGTGAGGAGAGTATATTTCTGATAAATCTCAACACATGCCTTGATTTGGGATTTATTCAATATCAATTTTTTTTTTTGCCTTTAGACCAAAACAAAAAAAATGTCTTAATCATTCTTGGTTTATTGTCTTAACTTCATAGATTATTTCATGGCAAAAATATTTACTGTTATACCAAGGTTTGGTGGAGAACAGTTATTTTAAGAAAAACAGTTGGTATTTTTATATAAAAAATAAATTACAGTTTTTGCTTGCTCCCAGTGGCAGTGTGTACACTGCTGGTAGCATAGATTGAAATGCCTTTGTCTTTTATCCTTCTCCAGTATTTATAATATGTACTATTCTGGGGAAATACTGATAGTAATTTGTTTCAGAATCTCTCTCATGCCAAAAGTAGAGGCAAGGCAGTAATAGATAATGATGTAAAATATATGAAATCAATAGAAAACATTATTCATTATTGTTTTGTTGGTAAATGCCATTGAGTTGGTTCTGACTCATGTCGACCCTGTATAGGCTTTACAAGGAGCGCGGAGTGCCTGGCGAGTTTGAACTAACAGCCTTACAGTTCAAATTGACCTTGTAATCTAGTGCTTATCCTAGAGTGCCATACCACGACTCCCTAATAGTATTAATCATTTCAAGTTAAAGAAGTTTGAAAGAGGACAATAGATTTGAATATTTACAGCCAATCGAGCTGTATAGGCTTCATGTATCAGTATTATTCTATCTTGTTGGTTTTCTGTTTTCCAATACTTTTTCCATGTAAGAGCTTTTAGTATGTACGTGGACTGGATCTGAATAGCTATTTGCTGGTCTGTATATGCCATATAGGGGAGCATGATGACTGTGTAGGGTAAGCACTGGACCTTAGACCCCAGGGTCATTGCTTCCAGCCCACCAGCCGCTCTGCCAAAGAAAGATGAGGCTTTCTGCTCCTGCAAAGTTTTACAGCCTCAGAAGCCAACTTAGCAGCACATATACCACAAACAATAACATAGGCCATGTAATTCTGTAATGAGAAGAAATATTAGAATTTAATTCAGTTTGTTTTCAGTCATTTGGAAAATTATTTGGGGTACTATTTAACTGTAAATGTTGTATATTACTACCTTTATGATCTGAACAATTTATTTGTGATAGTCAACACAATTGAATAAGAAAACATTCCTTGTGTGTTTCCTATTAATTTCACAGGGTTTTTAGTACAGTTCTGATGACTTATTGCATACAATATAAATGCTTTATAAATGGTAAAATATCATGCAAATATATAGTGACATTATTGTCATAACGTAAAACAAGTGGCAGTAATCTTTAGATGCCCACATAGCTTTTCGTATCGCAAATACTTGTGTATGTGGGCTTATTTCCAGTTCTGACGGTTTACAATTTGTCCTTTGTTTACATGCAGCAAGGAGTTATGGGCGAAGACGAGGTAATTCATTTCTGTTTGCTATGGTTTAACTACTTCTAATTGGGTTTTATTGATCAATGTTGTTGTAATTCCAGATTTTTTATGAAAATTATGAAAATCCACAGAATTTTATTTTGATTTGAGCACTTAAAACATGTTTTTTTTTAATCTTAAATTGCTTTAATGATTTAAAAACAAATTGCAATATTAATAGTTACTTAATCAATGCCTTCCTTTAAAAGTAATCGGATCTTTGCTATTTTCTTTTTACTAGACTTTTTAAGACAAAGCTGCTGTTTATAGTTTGCCCACTCATGAAATGTGTTTAATGAGCATTAGTGAGGTGACATTCACTGTGATTGTTCTACTGTCTAAATCTTTAGCTGTGATTATTTGTCTAATCTGTGGTATATAATTTACAACTGCAGATTACTACTTTTATTTGTCACCCAATGGAAAATACCAACTAGATTATTGTTAACAGATCATGATGCTGCTATTTTTGTGTGTTACAAGCATGTAATTGTTCTCTCTCTCACACACACACACATACACACCACACACTTTCCGTCCCTCCTGCCAATGTTGTTCTTTCCCTCAGGACTGTTGTGTATGTAGGACCTTCAAGGAAAATCGAGAACTGTGTAGTTCAAGACTGTTATTAGACTTGCTAAGGAAGCCACTGTGCTTTATTGTGGTGTACACGTTGTCTCTCATTGTTCTGTGTGCAGAAAATGAGAGGAGGAGAAGTTGATGCGATGAGCTGAAACACTAATAACTGTGTACTTCTATGTTAGCCTCCCCGTGGGCAGGACTCATGATATGATTGAGCTCTGTTGTGGCAAGTGCCTCACTGAATGGAAGGGGGCTTTCCTTGACCTCTGAAATCTTCCACGAACCACAGGAAGATAGCCAGACGGAAACTAAATCCCCTCTATTCAATAACAATTCTGACTCAGCAACCCTTTAGCACAGAGAAGAACTGCCCCATTGGGTCTCCAAGGCCATAAATCTTCACAGAAGCGACCTGTTCCATCTTTCTCCCACAGGCTAATTGGTGGATTAAGACCTCCAACTGTCTGTTTTAGCAGCCAGGCACTTTTGATTTTGATGGTCAGATGAAAGTTGTATCCATTATAAACAACTATGGAGAGATTTTATTTAAATTTGAAAATACTTTGACATGATGAAGAATCAAACCTTTAAAAGAATAAAATAAAGGCAGAGAAAACCCACACATTAAGAGAATGACTAGAGAAAGATTCAATTAGTAGCCTGGTTCCTTCCTATCTCTTACTAATTGTGTACTGGATGTGGAGTCTCTGTGTGATACAAATGGTTAGTAGTGTGTTTGGCTGCTAACTGAAAGGTCCAAGACCAACTAGAGGTGCCTTGAAAACCAGGCCTGGTGATTTACTTCTGAAAAGCCCTATGGAGCACAGCTCTGACACACATGAGGGCCACATGACTCGGAATCCACTCACCAGCAACTAAGTTTGTGGTTGTGTGTGTGTCTGTCAGATTGATGACCTTTAAACTACCAAACCCAAATAAACTAACTGGTTGCCACGGACTCAGTGCCATTTCATAGTGATCCCTGTAGGACGATGTAGGACTGCCCTGTCCCTTAGGATTTCCAAGACTGTAATTCTTCATGGAGGCAAACTGCCGTATCTTTCTGCTGGAGCACCAGCTGTTGTTGTTGTTAGGTGCTACTGAGTTAATTCCAACTCACAGTGACCCCATGCACAATAGAAAAATCACTGTCCGGTCCTGTACACCCACTTTACTGAGCATGACATATTCTGCAGGGACTGGTCTATTCTGCTAACACGTACAAAATTTGAGAGACCAAGTCCCACCGTCCTGGCTTCTAAGGATCATTCTGACTACTTCCTCCAACGCAGATGTGCTTGGTTCCTTTGGCAGTCCATGGCACTTTCAATATTCATCTCCAACACTATAACGCAAATGCATCAATTCTTTTATGGTCTTTGTTATTCATTATCCAACTCTCACATGCATATGTGGCAATTGAAAATATCATGGCTGGCTTCAGGCCTACCATAGTCCTCAAACTTACATCTTTGCTCTTGAACACTTTAAAAGAGGTCTTGTGCAGCAGATTTGCCTAGTGCAGTACATCGTTTGATTTCTTGGCTGCTGTTTCCACAAATGTTGATAGTGGATTGAAGCAAAATGAAGTCTTTGACACTTCAGTCTCTTCTTCATTTATCATGATATTATGTATTGATCCAGTGATGAGGATTTTTGTTTTCTTTACTCTGAGATGCAGTCCATCCTGCAGGCTGTGATCTTTCATCTTCATCACTAAATATTTTAAGTCCCTTGCTTTCTGCAAGCAAGGTTGTATCATCTGCATATTGCAGGTTCTTAAATGACTCCTTTTCCAATCCTGATGCCACATTCTTCTTCATGAAATCCTGCTTATTGAATAATTTTCTCAGCAGCTAGATTGAGTAAGTATGGTGAAAGAATACACCCTGGCACACATCTTTCTGTACACAGTGCTGATCAAAAGACTGCCTCTTGGTCTATGTACAGGCTCATCATGAGCACAATGAAATATTCTGAAAATTTTGGTATGGTAACAAGCAGTGTTACCCATAGCTTGTCCTGATCCATCCCCCCAGTCTTATGCCTTTGTATAGTCAATGAAGCACAGGTAAACATCTTTCTGATAGTTTCTGCTTTGAGCCAAGATCCATCTGATGTCAGCAGTGCTATCCCTTGCTCCATGTTTCTTCTGAATCCAACTTGAACTTCTGACAGGTCCCTGTTAGTGTACTGGTACAACTGATTTTGAACTATCTTCAGTAAAATTTTACTTTACATGTGATAATAATTATATTGTCCGATGATTTTTGCATTCCTTTGGGTCACCTCTCTTTGGAATGGGCACAGATAAGGATCTCTCCCAATCAGTTGGTCAAGAAGCTGTCTTCCAAAAGCTTTGGCATAGACAAGTGAGTGCCTCCAGTGCTGCATCCATATATCTTGACTGCATATTTGGTCAATTTCAGACTGAAGAAGATGGTAGAGTTCTTCAATTTCATCATAACTGGCTTAAGTGATCCTTGCATACATTTGAATAATAGTGGTATTAACTGGTCTGCCTTATAGTAGGCACATGGATATTATCAAGACATCATTGTACTTCAATATAGATCTTGAAATTTTCTTCATGATAAGGACTGCTATACCATTACTCATGAATTTGTCATTCCTGGAAGAGTAAACCACATGATTGTCAGATTCAAAATGACCAATACCAGTCCATTTCAGCTCACTTCCAATTTTACTAGGTTCATAATTTATATATTCTCTGTTCTGATTATGAATGAATGTCTACAGCTGTTTTTAGTCCTTTTGAGTTGTACCCCATCAGCAAATGAAGGTCCTAAAAGCTTTAACTCCATTCTTCTCAGTAAACTCAGCTCTACTTTGAGGAGGCAGCTCTTCCCCAGTAGTATTTAGAGTTCCTTCCAACCTGAGAGCTTCATCGTCTGGCTCTATATCTGGCACAATGTTCCATTGCTATTTGTAAGGTTTTCAGTGGCTAAATTTTCAGAAGTAGACTGTCTCTCCTTTTTCCTAGTCTGTCTTAGTCTGGAAACTCAGCTGAAACCTAGCCACCAATTGTGACCCTGCTAAAAGACCAGTTTCAGACTTTCCAGCATCACAGCAACTTGCAGGCCACCACAGTACGACAACGAGTGGTGGGCAGATCCAGCTGGTGTATTGCAACAGCCAACGACACCACCAGGGCTCCTTCTAAACTACCAAGGGGGGTAGGATCCCTTTTATGAGTTTTACATTTTGAAAGATTTAGTTCATAGAAGACTTGGCTTTTACTCATTTATTTGTTGGTATTGTTAGAAAAATAAAACCAAATCTCACGTACATACCTGACTTGTATTCATGTGGCATGTTTTAAAACACAGGCGATATTAATTGTTCCCCAAAATGAGGCCTGGCTCCTAACCCGGGCAGTTATTGACTGTTGCCACCAGCATTTAGAGCTCACAGTCTGCTTGAGCGGAAACTATTTTCCTTCTTGCTTGTCTTTGCTGCACATCTTGCAGGCAAGGCATTGAGTAAGCTAACTTTTCATTTGAAAGACTTCTGCCTTGACTTGTTAGGTGCCATCGAATTGGTGCCAGCTGATAGTGACCTTATGCACAGCAGAACGAAACACTGCCCGATCCTGGGCCAACCTCACTATCGTTGCCATGCTTGCGCCCATCGATGCTGCCACTTGGCCAGTCCATCTCGCTGGGGGTCTTCCTCTTTTTCTCTCACCCTCCACCTTACCAAACATAATATCCTTCTCCAGCAACTGCTTCCTCCTGACAACATGTCCAAAGTATGAGAGGCAAAGTTTGATCATCTTGGCCTCCAAAGAGCACTCTGGCTGCACTTCTTCCATCACAGATCTGTTGGTTCTATGGACAGCCCATGGCACTTTCAATATTCTCCTCCAAGACCATAACTCAAAAACATCGATTCTTCTACGGTCTTCTTTATTTACTGTTCAACTTTCACATGCATATGAGGTTAATGAAAATACCATGGCTTGGGTCAGGTGCACCTTAGTCATCAAGCTGACATCTTTGTTTTTCAACGCTTTAAAAAGTTTGTGTGCAGCAGATTTGCCTAATGCAAAATGTGCAAAGATCTGGAGTCAGAAAACCAAAAACGAAGAACACGCTCAGCATTTCTCAAGCTGGGGGAACTGAAGAAAAAATTCAAGCCTTGACTTTCGTTATTGAAAGATTCTCTGGGAAAATTATTGAATGATGCAGAAAGCATCAAAAGAAGATGGAAGGAATACACAGAGTCACTGTACCAAAAGGAAATGACTGAGGTTCAACCATTTCAAGAGGTAGCATATGATCAAGAGCCAGTGATAGTGAAGGAGCAAGTCCAAGGTGCATTGAAGGAATTGGCAAAGAACAAGGCACCAGGAATTGATGGAATAAAAATTGAAATCGTTCAAG